CCCCCCCCCCCCCCCTCCTTATTGTGAAGGTCTGGATCCACCACTTGAATATTCTTATTTTTCCGCGGATTTTAGCCTGAAAATATTCGTGTATTATTCTTGAATTATAATTGAAAAAGAAAGAATTTATGATATCCTTTTTGTGCTTTGTTCATTTTTGTTTTTTGTTTTTTTTGTTTTGCTGTATAATATTGATATGTGTTTCATGAACAGTTCATCGAACGGTCATTAGAACTGAACATTTGGCTATAACCAATGCAGGTTTCTTCGTTTCATTTGGGTAGTTTTGCCGTGGGAGGAAGTAATAATTTAATACTGTTAACTAAAAACATATTTCAAGTTTTAGATTTTCATCACTCAAAATAATCATCCTTTTCGAGATCTCAACCTCGGGTTTATAAATTCTTTTGCAAATTTTAGCCTCGATATTCTTATAAAATATATTCATAGTGGGAAAAAATAAAGGGTGTAAACACACATCTTTTTTGAACTTTAAAAATCTTATCCAGTAATCCTGCTTTACATCATTCCCGGAAGACACCTAATACTAACCTGGCTGAGTAGGTTTAACGCTAACACAAAAAGAAAATATTCTTGTTCGCGTTGAATAGAATTTTACGATTGGTAGATATCATTATTTCTATTGACAAAAGAAAATTTCGCTTCTCTAATTGATCGACGCTCATGGGAAAAACCGAAAGAATGACATGCAAAAATTAAAGTTAAAAAAATTTTGACTTTTTTCGCAGAGCTAAGCTATTCAGCCCTTACAGATAGCCTCGAACTACTGAGTTCACCTGAAACTGCATCATATTGAAAGAATGATGCTCGGCGACAAGCTGTCGATTCATAAGCTATTAAAACAAGGAATATTCATATCAAACCCGATAATACGGACAGCAGTTACCTCCAAGATAAAAAGCAATTATCCTGATAAAGATTAAGATAAACTCTCGCTTTTACAGACTGTCGAGGTCCCTTGTCTGCAATAAGACCAGGGAGGGGGGAGGGTTAGGTACCCTACGTATGTCCCTACTCTAAATTTCAAATACAGTCTTTTTCGCTTTTTAATGAATAGGCCATGGCCCTGTCAATATATTTGACCCATCTTTGTGTCGTTTGTCGTCATTTCATCTTGTCTTATGGCGTTGATTCGAATCCCTGCCGCTTGTGGAAATTTGACGCAAAAAGAGCCTCACTAAAGTTTAACATTTTTATGGCCGTTTTTATGATAGAAACGTTAAAGTCGTCTGGACGCATTTTTAAATGCAGAGACGTTTAAGTCGTATGGTGTAATAACGGAACACAAAAATGCATGGAAGCGACTTTTCTGAATAAAAGACAAAACACAGACTCTTTTCCATCGTTTCTGGAGGAGTTGGGCATAAATGAGTCCCAGTTCACGTGTTGTATTTTTATACTAGTCGCATTTGATCTCCAAGACGTTTAAGTCGTCCGTTTAAGTGCGCCTTAAAAAAAACGATGGACTTAACAGAAGAAATTAAAGTGGTCAAAAGGTAAATACGTTTGTCAAATTGACCGTCTTTATACTAGACGTAAGCTTCGTTTTAGGAAGAGCTTTTAAAGACTTTTTAAACGTTAAAACATTTTTAGCATAAAAACTGAATGGCCTGTGGCAGCCTGAGGCTCTGTATGTTGACACTATACCGAATAGCCTTTCGTGCCGACATGAAAAGCTGCCCAGTATCGTATGAACGCCTATCCAATACATGACTCTCCACTTTAGGGATTGACAGGGCGCAGCTTCGCTTCGTGACAGAAATTGCGCCAAAATCAGCGTCGTAAGCGTGAACAGAAGCCATGTCCGATATGGTTTTCGCGCCGGCGCGAAAACTCTCCGGTAGAGTGTGAACATAACGTAAATGCTTACCTATTGTGAGAACTGTTGCTATTGGCACATCCTTAGAAGGGTTTTGGGACTCCTCAACAGAAATAGCTATCACATCAAATCCAACAAACGCATAAAACGACGAAGCGGTCCCCCCTAACACGCCAGAAAACCCGAAGGGTAAAAAATTGTTAGTCCAGTTCTTGCTCTCGGCAAAAGTAGCTCCAGCTATGATGATGAATAATATAACAGCTATGTTTATAGATGTGATGGCACAGTTTGTAAAGCTTGTGAGCTTTACGCCGAAGCTTAAGACCGCGGTCATAGCAAAAGTGAAAAGAAATGCTACGAAGTCCAGTTGATTTGCGATGACTTTACCAACACCGAGTTTTAAGAGCCCGGACTCTGTTGAATTAGATATAGCGTTGTTGAGCAAAGCAGAGTCTAGACACGAGCTCCATGCTCGAGCGGGTGACGAAACGCCAGTGATGTACTCAAGAACTAAGTTCCAACCAATTACAAAAGCACATAGCTCACCGATAGTAACATAACTAAAAGTATATGCCGATCCAACACGAGGAACTCGCGCTGCGAATTCAGCATAACACAGTCCGGATAACAAGCTTGCCACAGCAGCAAAGAAAAAAGAAATAACCAATCCTGGGCCAGCGACATTTCGAGCTAAAACTCCAACGAAGATATAAACCCCAGCTCCCAGCGTGGAGCCAACCCCTAGGCATGTCAAATCTAACTTGGTTAGACAACGCAAAAATTTGGTCCTCTGTGCGGTGGTTGGATCAACAAACTTCTTCCTGGAGATCGCTCTTGCAAACCGATCCATAGTGAGATTAAATCTTTTATAAATATCTCGTCATAGGTTTGTCTCCTGTCATTTACCGTACTATGTTCACACTTCAGTCTGTGTTGTATCAATGCTTTTATGTGAGACTCACTGCTGAACATACATTATGCTAGTTTCTGTTCCTTGGAGACAGTGACATAGATTTCAAGTTCAATCAATTGAATCAAATACATTCTGCTCTCGATTCAATATGCTAAACTTTGTAAAATTTTTCTCAATATGTCTTTGATGAATGGAAATATTCTACGTAGCCAGATTCTTGCAAAGAAAAAAACTGAACACCATCGATATTTTGTTCTAAATATTTCTGACTTTGTTGAAAAAATTGTTTTATGAAAAACATCTTTTGCGACTATACAAACTTTAAAAGCATTTTTCAAGTTGAGAGAACTTTTCATCATTCTTAATGAAGTAAAAACTTGCAAGAGGTGACAGGCCGCACATCTTCACTGGCGTGAAACGTTTGAAAACCTTTTTCATATTGCTCCATTGAGAGGAACTCTTTTAGGGATCTTACAGTTTGAAATTTGAACGATGATATAGCTTCTATATAGCGGACCAAGATACGGCTCGGTACAGTGTATGTTCAGCAAAGGAAAATTGTGTAAGTTGAGCAGAACCTTTCAAATGTACAACAGACAATTTATTCAGTTCGCGCGTATTCCTGTTGAATTTGTAGCCCGTTTATGAGATTTGTCTACTCAAAAATGTAATAATTTTTCCATAGTTGCTGTTATCTTAGGGTATCTGGTTTTAATATCTCCGTAAAGTTTAGGTTTACGCGATCTCACAGATCAATGTTCAGCTGTACACAGCACGTAGTCTTTAAATATATCCAGATCTGACCCTGGTTTTGTGTATTTATCACGTCTTTAGTAGAAGCATGATTTAAATACATTATGATGCTGTGTCCTTTGAATGTCGCTTTGAAACTCAATCGCTTTGTTAATGTGACTAGTACTTTTAATATCAGAGGAGAGTATTTTAAAGCTCGATATTTTTCAATACCATTAGCATGTTATTTTTTTACCAATCAATTGACTAGCTTCATTGTGCCACTACATAATGTCTGCAATTATTATTTTATAAGTATAAGTTTACAAGCAAGACCGGTGGTTTCGAATCTTACGATTCTCATCAGTTGCTATGTGGTGGGATGGTTTTGGTGAACTCTGAACCATTCCGCATTGCTTGATTTGGTA